TTTTGGTGTTTTGAGGTGGTGTTGTGGTGATTCTCAAAATTTTAAAAAAAAAAATTATTTTTTTTTGTTTTGAGAAACTAACAAAAAGAACGCATTTTCAAGAATTTCAAAACAAAAACTCAAAATACAAAACTCAAAATGAATTCAAAACTCAAAACACAAAACTGAAACACAAAGAGAACACCCCCTTAATAAACTAATGGGCAAGATACAGTGTGAATCACAGGTGACATGAGCATATTTATTTAAGATGTGGTTATGCATTGGGCACGACCACATTTTATAGGAGTTCAATACAATATGATGACATTAAACAATGTAGAGTCTCTGAATTCACTATTTAAGAAAGATCGAGTGTTTAGATAAGTTATAAATCATTTATAAGCATATGTTCAACCCTCCATTTTTTCAAAAATTCATTTTTTAAAACTCATTTTCAACTACACATTACTCTATAAAATTATCTTACATATAAATTCAAAATTTTTCCTTACTTTTTAACCACACATTTTCCAACAAGACACTATTCTAAAATACATTTAGCCAAAGATGATGATGATAATGATGATGATGATGATGATGATGATGATGATGATGATGATGATGATGATGATGATGATGATGATAGTAGAGGCTCAAACAAGAGTTGAGATCTGTTGTTAAATTTTGCTGCCTATTGTGCTATACATTCAATTAATTCTTGATATATCATTAATTTAGTAGGTTAGTAGTGATGACATGTTAAGATTTAACTATTGATAACATGTTAAGATTTAATTGGATGAACAGAAAAATGAACAACAAAATTGAACAGCAGATCTCAACTCCTCGAACAAGGGCTAAATTATTAAATTTCATTTTTGACCACACATTTCAAGATATCCGCAATTACTATCTATTTTTTCATCACTCATTTTTATTCACTCGTAAATTCTTCCCAGACGAAGGCTAAATAAACAAAAATAAGTGGTGAATAAGTGAATAAATCTTCCGTATCTATTGAGATACTAGTTTTTAATTTCTTCTTAAATGGTATCTGTTCCACATAATTTATTAGGAGATTCATGTGAAGGGAGGCAGCATGCAAACCATAATGCTAAAATCTGTGTTCATCAAATCAATTATGGTTATTATAACACCAAAACAAAAGTATGTGAAACAAAAAGGAAGGAAGCTGCAAACTATCAAAGAGAACTTACTGATTTCTTTGATGAATTTGAACTTCGGAAACTATCCATAATCTTTCTGGATAAACTTACGTGCAAAGAATTCTTTATAGAAGTTGACGTAATACGTAGGCTAGGTTTCAAAAATTCTTGAAGCTTATACTTGGACCTTCAATTTAATATAGAACAACATAGTTTATAGAGTATAACTTTTTGTTAGGGCGAACAACGTAGATTATTGAGATCTTTCTAATTTTTCAAGATTCTAGTCCTCAATTTCGTATGTATTGAGTTTATTTAAAGTGTTTAATGCTTGAATTACCGGCCAATAATTCAAAGATTTTTGAAATTTTTAAGGAGTCAAGAGGTGAGTCATAGATTTAGACCACGTAGTAAAATTCGGGAACTAGTATAAAAGTATAGAGATACATTTTGTGGTTAATATGTTCATACATGAATTCTTAGAAATTTAAGACGTTTAACTAAGGTGTATCCAAATTCACATAGAGAAATTAACTTAGTTAAATAGAATCAATCTAAACTTGAGAGAGAAATTGAATGCGTTAGAAGACTTTAACTGAACACGACATTATATTATGAATCTTGATTAGAGAATTAAAGGTGATCAATAAATGAAATTGTGTGCCCTAATATCTCCTTCATATTCAAAAACCTAATTCGAATTTTGTTTGCACGAAGGTACATTCAAATAGATAGTATGATTTAGAACAACAATCACCAAACCTTAATTTGTTTTTGTCAAATAGAAGTGGAAATAGTAAACTAGGAATAAATAATGGTTTCTGTGGGAACAATTATCTGAACTCATAGGTTCATTATATTACTTATTTGATATCATACGCTTGCGATGGGAAAAATGCAACACCTATCATATCTGAATGAACACCCACAAGATGCTTCTTTTCTTGAAGAATGAACACCTTCAAGAGGATCTTATAGGATGTCAATTGCAGATGTTCGTACAAGATATGAGATCAACATCTGGATATTGCACATTTATTGGATGAAATCTAGTTACTTGGAGAAGTAAGAAACAATCTTTGGTTGCTAGGTCCATTACAGAAGCTCAGTTTAGAGTATTGACATAAGGAATAGGTGTGTTGATGTTTGCTCAATGAACTACTAATTGTAGAGACAGAAAAAAATGAAGCTCTATTGTGAGAATACGCTGTCATCAGTATTGCTCACAATCTTGTTGAGGGTGACAGAAATAAACACTTTGATATTGACAGAGACCATATCAAGGCAATAGTGGTCTAATTCGTATCTCATTTGTTACTAGTGGGAAAGATCTATTTAAACGTCTCGTGGGGTGAAAGATATGCCAAAGATCATAATACATTTTTTATGAGAATACTTAGTGACAAAATAATTAAGCAATTTTTTTTCAGGTAGCTCTTTCATGTTGTATACTGCTGCTGTCGTTAAATGATTTACAGAAAAAGAAAATAGATACTAATTGCATTGTTATATTACAACAAACAAACTATAAACAAAGTCTTATTTCCAGTAAATTTGGGATATGCTATATTGAATTATCTTATTAATTGAATTCTTATGTTTGTCAGAGGAATACCTCATGTTTTCCATGTAAATTATTTCTTTCATCCAACTCTATATAATTTTCATTAAGCATGGTGACAGTCCAGTTTGCACATGAATTTTGGAGGATACAAATGATTGTGCTTTAACATTAGATTTATGCTTTTGGCTTCTGCAAGAACATAATAAACATAATGGTAATTCAGTTTATTTTATAGGGATTGAAGGAAAATTGTTATGAAAATTATCAATGAAATGTTACCAACAAAGTCTCTTTTCCTTCCCCTTTTTTTTCTCCTTTCTTTCTTATTGGCTTTCAGAAAGTCTTTTTGTGAAATCTAGAATTTTATAATGAGTTACTATTTATTACGTTTGTAGATGAAAAACCCACTGCAACCAAGGTAAAACTGGGCTCAGTTTACCACCAAATCGACACCACAATAAGAACAAAACCAAACACCTCCAACCGAATTTTTTCTCTTCTCATGGTTGCTTTTCAATGCCCATAAAGAGACCACAAATGATCGCAAGTAATCTCACAAAGATCAACAACAAAGGTAGTAAAACCAAGAGTGAACTGAGAGATGGAGAAGGAGAGAGAAAGGCAGCGAAGTCACGGATATTGGAGGCAACTAGAGGACGGTCCATATAACCAAATGGGGTAACCAATTAAGGTAAGTTAGATTAGATTAAAATAGTAGCCCGAATGGGTTTTATTCCTGAGCCATCCAAGTGAATGGGTCGGGTCACGAGCAACTATACTAAATTAGGTCGTTTCGAGTGGCCCATCCAAAATGGAGTTTGGTCGTTCATTTTGTGATGTCAATATATCGTTTAGTCATTTGGTCTAAGCTGACTGAAATTATAACCAAGTTAACATCATGGTCCAAGGAAGATGTTTGATAACAAATTTTTGCTCTCTTAAAATTGTAGTAGCTATGCATTTTAGGAAATGGAATTCTTACTGTAAACAAATAGTTCCTTTCTTGTTATGTATTTAGGTGTTTTTTGCATTTTGATTAAGCATTGTACAACTGTTCAGTCAATTTACATTATTATTATTAATATAAAAATGAAGTTAGGTCATATCTTTCGGAACCTGATTTTGATAGTCTAATTCTCAGCATCTCGTGTATAAATTTCCCGAATTTTTTTTTTTTTTTTGCAGGGATAAAGTTTTATTCCTTGCCGTGTGGACATCTATGAATATTATTATTCCAATCTTCCCGTGCAATAGTTTTTGGAAGTCAAAGAATCGGTCATATGTGATTATATAGGCAACATAAATAACTAACTTGACATATTATACTATATGTACATAATAGTTTATATAGTGATTTATATACGTATGATATGGTGAGATATGATTGGATAAAAAATTCTTTAATAAGAAAAGCTATCCACTCTCTTTTTGACACCCCATTTGTATATAAATCAATATATCCAGTTAGCATTATTCTTTGAACTACATATAGAGCATGTTTATTAGTTAGTATTAAACAGAATACTTGGTCAAGTGCGTTTGACGCCTACAGTTGATAATAGCTCGACTGAAAGGGGAGAGGGAGAAAAATTATGTTGTTGAAAGTAAAAATAGTACCAGTTTCTAGAATTGTCGATTTAAAATTTTTTACGTTATCCATACACAATTCAAGTAATCACGGTTAACTTGCCTTGTTAAGTCTATGTTTGATTTGGATTAAATCAAAAATTAAAATTTCAAATTAAAGTCAAGAATTAATTTTAATCATATATTTTAAAAAAGAATCTACAACTTTTCATCAAATTCTATCAAAATATGTTAAAAATCTTATTTTAATCTACATCAAATAGGGGCTAAACAAGTTGTTAATGATTTATTGCCTTGGAATCTGGTTTTCAACCATCAAATGGACAAGTGTAGAATAAGTAGAGGCTAAAACATAGGTTTTTTTCCACAAAAGCACACGAAGTGTAGAAAGAAGCAAAGTCATGAACAGTATGTGGGTGACTGGGTAATCCATCTGCCTTTGAGAAAGCTCTTACAAATCCTTTCCCAGTATTTCCTATCTGCTTCTGCTTTAATTAACTTCAACTTGGCTTCTTCTGCAAAACCCTTCTGCAATTTTATAGATTATACAAAAAATGAGTTTTAAGAGTGTAAGAAAGATTGAAAGACAATTGAAACAGTTAAATTTACCATTACATGTAACTCTAATGCTCAATAAACATAAGAATTATTCTTCAAGTACAGATTTTTTTACCAGATTTTATACAAGGAAACAGTTGTCTCGTTATAATTTGCTATTGCCAAAAACTATTTTTAACAACAGCCAATCCCTATGAGACAGCTGTGTTTTCTATATAAAATCTGTATTTGTAGCATATCTCTAAACATAAATATATCGGATGTGATGTCATAAAACGTAGCAATTTTTTTATTTATTTTTTTTATTGACAGTCAACTTTGAGCAAATCCTCCTTTAATCGAGTTTTGGATTGACCATGGAACGTAAAAAATAAAACATAATAAGATAAAATGATAGATGTAAACCTCTTGAAATCTTCTTCTTTTAAGTCATAGTTAGAGGTCAAAATTCTAAAAAGACTCATGTGATACGAGTCATAAAATTTTGCGCGAGTTCTCAACCTGGGATTTAGGGCTGGTTCTGAAAAATCACATAGTCAAGAGAGATTTTGAAAACCATTAAACACAGTTTACTATGGTTCGCGTACCTCGATGGAATCATTGGAGACAATACGATCAATGAGATTTTCAAGAATATCTTTTGTATATTCAGGATGTCCCTGAATTCCTAGAATATATTCCCCAAATGTGAACATTTCTACTCCTGTTTTATCAGAACATGCAAGAACTTGTGCACCCACAGGCACTTCACAAACCTGTCAATTAATTTCACAAACTGTCAAATTTCTTCGAGAAAGTTGAGAAAAATATTACGCACAAAAATGTAAATAAAGTGTAGAGAGAGAGAGAGAGAGAGAGAGACCTCATCTTGATGGCACTCTATGATTGAAAGAGTGGGAGGAATTTCATCGGAACTGTCATCAACATAGCCATAAAAGGAGAACTCCTCAGTAAACCTAACTTTTCTTATTCCAATATCCCAACCACTATATGCTTTCCCAACTTTTCCCCCCAAAGCTCTACACAAAACCTTGAAAAAGTAAAACATAATTATAAGTGAAAGTGAAACAAAATAAGAAAAATACTTTTTAATTTAATTTAAGTATCATTTTATTAGATCCAGCATATATACCTGGTGGCCAAAGCAAATTCCAAGAACTTTCTTTTGCATGGCAAATAATGTCTGCAAAAGAAAGCAAAGTTCAAGAATCCAATATTCATCCCCATATGCATCATGAGGGCTTCCACTAATCACAAATCCTTCATAGTTTTGAAGATCATCCAGGTCGGGGAATTCCCCCTCGACTATACGAAACAAGTCCCATTTCTCTCCTTCATCTGCTAATGCTTCAACAAATACATTGAAATATCCACCATACACATTCTTCACATACTCTGAATCCCTTGCTGCCATTAGGATTGCAAATTTTTTCTCTCTCTGGACCTTCATCTTGTAAAATAAGTGAAAATTGGAAATTTATTGTAGGGATAAATAGAAGCGTATAGGATTGTTATAGGCAAGTATGGATTACCATGGAAGGGACAGATCCTTTTATACAAGAAAGAAAGAGTATGGTAACATTAGGTGACAATGGAAATTTCACTTGCTTAGTAGAATAATAGTGAATTTCTCCTTTAGAATAGATTCTCATTGCTTCCACTAGGACAACACTTGAATAAACTAATTGAATTATGTGTACCAGCATATATATGCTAAGCACCCAAGCAACGTGGCATAATAGGCAGTGCGATATAATAGCTAGTTACAAAACTGATTACACAACATATTATAGTGTGCTATTTGGTGGAATATTCTCTTTGGACTTTTTTACGAGAACTTCATGCATAAATAGATCATGTCAAACAAATTTTTAGTTTCCAAATTTATGTTTGACCAAATCCAAAGTTCATGAATATTTATATATATGTTAACAAGGAACGAATGTCTCCATACTTACTTTTATCTTCTAACTTCATGAATTTTATATTGAATCTATAAATTAGGCAGGGTAAGATTGGAATAATCCAGTAGAATCTGTTCTGTTTTGATTCATCGCTTCCGCTTATCATTTTTTACAAGTTAGGCAGGGCAAGATTTGAATAATCTAGTAGAAATATATTTATTTAATTTAACTTCGGTGAAAATTCCTCTTTGAAGTAGTTTCGAGGAGAAGTTAATACGTGGAGTTTCCAAATACAATTATAGATCATGTAAATGAATCTTTTGGTTTTCAAATTTATGTATATCCAATTTTCATGAATATGTATATATGTTTAAAGCTTAGAATGTCCATGTACTTTATCTCCTAACTTTTATTTCTTCGAATTCATAAACTTAAATTTAGGCTCAGTTAGCAACGAATTTATAAATTCAATCAAAATCAAATATTTATTATTCTCATAACCATGTGATAACTCTATTATATCCTAAGTTTGTGATCAGATACCAATGACATGGTTCTACTTTATTAATAGTTGCGCCAAAAGTTGCATCTTATTTTGATTTTATTTTCAATCATGCCTATGTCATTTAACTTTCTATGACAAGTGGATTTGAATTGTAGAGAAGGCTGCTAAGTTCACGAGTGAATCATATCATAGGCTAAATTCCAGCATCCAGTGTAGCATATAATTAGGCCAAAATTCAATGCCTAAAAATGGTAACGAAAGATCAAATGTGAAACTTTTGATTCAAGTTTATAAGAGGTATCACAGTTCGTGTCACTGTTGAACGAATTAAAATAAGTATCAGAATTTCAGTGGATTGACAAAAGTATATATTCCAACTGATATTCCATGGATAGAATCAGAATGGAATTTTCTATTTGAGTAATATATATTATTTATTTTCCCATTAGTTATATGCTTTTGCTAATTCTAGTATTGCCTTGTATTTACTTTATTGTTTTCATGTTTGTGTCAAGTCGTGTTTAATATTTGGCAGGAAACTAAAAGACATTGGACATTGTGTTCTATTGTTCTATTCTATCTAATATTTCATACCAAATTCAGTAAAGGATAGAAAAAATTTCTAGAGACTGCATTAATTAATTTCATCAACTTCTGATCTATGCCTGCTTGTTGTTTAAAGATTGATGCAATATGGGATTGGATATGCAGCAGATAATGGCATGTTATTAACACATTTTGTGATTTAGTTATCCAGAAGTAGAAAATCTAACTCTATACGACCAAGAGCAATAAAATCACAGCGAGGAAATAAAGACATGAAAGAACACATAAATTGTATTAGGGTTCATCTTAATGTAAAACCATGTCCTCGTCAATCTCTATAGAAATTCACCATGATGAAAGAAGTTTATAAAGAAAAGATCGATCCACTTATGGACTCAGCATAGCAACTATATTTATGCTCCACACTTAGAAGATAGGGCATATGCCTGTATCAGTAAGTTTGTTGATTTCAGGGCCACTGATAATTCGCACAATTTGCAATCCAAACAAATCCTTCAATGAAGAATATGTGGGCTTGTTGTTAAAGATTCAAGTGCACAAATATTATCTTCCACTGCAATATATACTTTACCTTTGGACCACCAGCTTTCGTATGGAGTCATCTAAAACCTTGACTTTGACACAAGAATTGTTCAGGAGTTTGCCAAGTTTGGTTTGTTCCTTAAAAGCACTTATTAAATATTGTGTCTCAAATCGTGCCTATCAAACATGCCTTTATAAAATGCAAGATGAGACTATTACATATATACGGGTTTTGTCGAAAAATGACTTCATTCATTTTTCTTATACAATAAAATATTTCAGCATGTCAACATTTTCCTAATCAAGATTCAACGTAGATGAATTGTTTGTGTAAATAATTAAAGTTTTATTAATTCCTCGAAGCACCAGTATATTGAGAGCTTTATATTTCTCTCGAGCATTTTTCATTTTCATTTTTCTACTTCTCATTTATGAATGTACAAATTACTTTAAACCTTTTCTCACTTGCCAAATCCATTAGTCCTTGATTCTAGAAGTTATCAATTTTACGTGCATCACAAAGGGAGATGCACTGTAAATATTCTTTTAGGCGAAAATGAAGTGCAGATCTAAATTCTTTTTGTAAGATAATCAATGCTTTGAATATATATTGGATACTAATTCTTGGTTAATGAAAATAACTTGTACACCTAAGTCTAAGTCTAATTTGCACTATCGCCTATGATTTAAGGACACGTTTGTTGGGATCAATGGGTTGTAAAAAATGAAGTTAATGACGCGATATGAAGTTAATATGGATTACAACAATATAAAAATATATATCAAGCTGTAAAGTAAAGAAAAAAAAAGGAATTAATGCAGAGGCAAGATGTATTATTAATTGACAATATGGAGAGAACACAACGCCACAGCAATATTGGCTTATTCTAAACTGAAAGAGGAGACCTATATTTATAGTACACGAGTCAAACATTAAAACTAGGCAAAAGATGGAAATTTAAAAAAAAAAAAAAAAAAACCCCCACTTAAAAGAAAAAAAAGGGGAAAAACGTGTCCGCATTTACCATACACGGCACACACACATATTCTTTCCTTTCTTCAATTGGCCCCAATAAGATTTCTTTCCAAAACTAAGACACACACAATCTTCCAAATTTTGAGGCAATAATTAACAATCTCCACTTTGACTCGAAATTTCTTTGCAATGATCGAAAATTCTAGATTTCAAATCCGTCTGCAACGAAATAGATAAACTTCTCAACACAGTAACCAAAACTCTCTACACTAAACCATCTTCCTCTATAAGGCATCCACACACGACACCTGAACCCAACTCCCGGGCTCCCAAAATTCTACCAAGGAATTACTATTGATCAAATAGGGTCGAAGCACACCCTATAGCAGAAACCAAACTAAATGCTTGATCAGAAGGCCCCTTGTCAGAACTATCACCTTCAAAGATCCCAAAAGCATCACAGATATCAATAACACCCTGGTACCTATTCTCCATGAGTCCACCCCTGACATTTGAACACAGTCCATCTGCTGAAATTGGTGGCAAAGCGGAATCACCAACGCTCTCTCTAGCAGTGTTCAAAATTGACCCAAAGCCCAACGCAAGAGGTACTGTACCAAACTGAATATCCACCACGGTACTGAATTTGTCCCGATGTCTCAAAACTGGTTCTACGCTTCCCTGCAATATGTACAAATGGGATCTCTTTCGTCCCTCCAGTATAAGCCGAACACCCTTTCGAACCTTCAAGACTCCACCTCCATCAGAAAATTTATACCCTTTTGCATCTAAGGTACTCAGTGATATGAGATTCTTTGTCAAGTCTGGAACATGGCGAACCTAATCAAGTGTCCTTACTGTCCCATCTTGTAGTCTCATTCTGACCTGACCGATTCCTGCAACCCGACAAGATTGGTTGTTTCCCATGATAACTCCACCTTGCTTCACCGCCTCATATGTCTGGAATAATGCCCTATTAGGACACATATGATACGAACATGCAGAATTCAGAATCCACTTCTCAGGTTTGGATTCCCTGTCAGATACAGCCAACATCACATCTCCATCATCACAAAAATTCTCAGCAATATTAGTCTTGTTCGAATTACCTGATTGTCCCACATGATTTGCACGTAAATTACCTTTACCCTACAACTTGTCGCAATCTTTCTTGATTTGTCATTTCTTCTTGCAGTAATAATAATAATACACATTGTTGTACCTCACATTCGATCTACCCCTCCGTCGATCACCATGAGTAACAAGATCATCCCCACCTGTAGATGTAGGATCTCCAACCAACAGCTCTATCCTCTCCGTTGAGAACAGGACTTCATATACCTCCTCAATGGTAAGCGTATCACGACTATACAGAATAGTATCACGAAACGACGAAAAAGAACTAGGTAGTGAACACAACAAGATCAAGGCTAGATCCTCTTCATCATATTTTACCTCCAACGTCTCCAGATCTGCAACAATCTCCTTGAACACAGCAAGGTGGTCCGGTAGTGACTCTTCTTCCGCTATGCGATGGGAATACAACTTGTGGTTTAGAGTCAATTTGCTCGTTAGACTCTTTGTCACGCACAACCGCTCCAATTTGAGCCATAAAGCAGTCGTTGTCTTCTCCTTCAAGACATCCTGCAGTATATTGTTAGACAAATGAAAATGAATCAATGATATAGCCTTCCTATCCTTCCGTTGTTTCTCCTCCATAGGCCAATTTGCTGGCATCTTCTCAAAGCCCAGCAAAGTATCATCAAGTTCCATCTACATCAACACAGCCCTCATCTTTACTTGTCACAGCGAAAATCTTGTATTGCGATCCAGTAGCGGAATATCATACTTCATCGAAGCCATCTCTGAAAATCTCAATCAAATCACAAAAAACTTGTAACATTGCTCTGATACCACTTGTTGGGATCGATAGGTTGTAAAGAATGAAGTTAATATGGATTGCAACAATATAAAAATATATATCAAGCTATAAAGTAAAGAAAAAAAAGAGAGAAATTAACGCAGAGGCAAGATGTATTATTAATTGAAAATATGGAGAGAATACAACGCCACAACAATA